TTTAGGGTTCTAAACGTGAATTTTGGGGTCTCCTATTGTATAACTTCTGAATGACCTGTTTATGCCTCAGTTAACCCAACCTCATAATAAAGCTAAGAGTGTGTCTCTGGATAATTATAAGGCATTTATAAATATGGCTACAGACATTTTGTCTAGTTTACAGGCTTCTTAATCTAATCTAGGGTCTGTGAATTTGTTTAATTTTTTTTGATAAATGTATTTCAATATAATTAGTTTCATTGGTAATCCTATGCATTTTTATAGGTATGAAAACATTATTCTGAGAAAGGGTCTGTAGGCTTGACTATACTTCCAAAGGAATTCTTGACACACAAAAATGGTCGAGAACCTCTGCTCTCGCAAAAACGCAAAACAGCTCTATGTATATCTTTATAGTGCTTATGACTAATATCTTAGCACAGTGCCTATCACACAGTAGGCACAGAATAAAGGCTAGTTTGACTGGCTAACTAACTTAGGTAGGTTGAGAAGCCTGTTTTTGAGAGGTAGCATGGTACAAAGAGGGAGGATAATTTGATTCCTCTGGGAAAGAAAAATTAATACAACAAAAATGAGGCATTTTAAAAAAGAAGAGTATTCAAATTCCTGTCATTCCTCAGAAAGTGACATGTTTATTTAAAATGGAAATCAGTTACTAAGAAACCAGCAGGGAAGACTAGAGGTTTACAATAGATTTTCAAGCCATCATTTAAAATCCTAGCTGAGCCAGGTTTGGTGGCATTGACCTGTAATCCTTGATACTTGGGGAGGCTTGAATTGACCTTCATTAGGCCTAAAGCCACAGGAGTGGAGGGCCAGTAGCCTGCCTAAGGAGGGGCAGAACAGTCTGGATTGGAAAAATATAGTTTTATCGAATGACCATCAGCTGCCTGTTACTGACCCGTTACATTCTCCTGGCACCTAATTGCTTTAACTGGAGGAGTTGTGGAGACATAAGATTTTTATGTTCTTGGATAGCAAGCCAGAATATAGCTATTTAAGGGGCAGAGCCCATTCGAGGAAAAAGACAGATGACTGGTGGAGATGTGGGCTTTCCAGGAGGAGAAGTCTGAGGCCTACTTCTTCAGGGATAGCTCAGCTTCTAGGTGGAACCCCAACTGGCTCTTCCCCAGCTGGGAATATTGGAATTTTCTACTCCACAGATGGGTAGTTGAAAAGGTAAACAGTGGAGTTTATATTTTATCCTAGAGACAACAGGAAGCCACTGGAGTTGATTGAGAAAGGGAATGATAGGATCAGATTTGTACTTGAGGCAAATCATTTTGGCAGCAGGATATAAGATGGATTAAAGTGGTGAGAGAATTGAAGCTGGGAAACCAAATTAGATTTTTGCAGTAACCTAGCAAAGAGGCAATGAAGGCCTGAACTAAGGTGGTACCTGTGTAAGTACAGAGAGGGGGCTGGATGTGAGAGATGTTATGGAAAAAGGAAGAATATGATTTGACAACTGATTGGACATGTGGGGAGAAGAAAAGTGAAGAGTTAAGAATAATGCCAAGATTACAACCTAAGAGATTGGAAGGACGGTGGTGCCTTTGACAACTATAGGGGAGTTTAGCAGAGAGGAAGGTTTTTGGAGAAAGATAGCAAGTTCAGTTTTGGATGTGTGCATTTGAGAAGTCTTTGGACATCCCGTTTGAAATATCCAATGGGAACTTGGTGATTCTGCTTGAAGCACAAAGGAGAGATTTGAGCTGGTTGTATAGATGTCAGTTGTCTGTGTTGAGGTGATAGTTAAGCCTATGGGAGCTGATAAGGTTACTGAGAGAGAGGGTTGGGGGAGAACAAAAAAAGGCTTAGGACTATACCTTGGGGAACACCCACAGTTAGGGGAAAATAATAGGGATGATGAGCCAGCAAAAGAGATGGAAAGGGACAAGTAAAAGGAGCCCCTGGAGAGTAGAGTCACACAAACCCAGAGAGGAGAGTGTAGAGGGAGAGGGTGGTCAACAGTGTCAAATGTAGTAGACAGGTTGAGAAGGATGAAAATTGGGGGAAAATTATCAGGAACGGCAATTAAGAGAGCAATGGTGACCTCAGAGAGAGCCGCTTTAGTTGAGTGGTCAGAAGCCAGATTGCAAAGGGTTGAGGAATCAGTGAGGGGAAAGTGGAGGGAGCAAGTATAGACAGCCTTTTCAAGGAGTTTGGCTGAGAAGGGAAGGAGAGATAAAGGATGATAGCATGAAGGGATGGCAGTGTTTACTAAAGGCTTATTCTTTTTAAAGGATGCGGTATGTTTGAAGGCAGTAGGGAAAGAATCAACAGGTAGAAGTGGTTGGAGATTCAAGAGAGAGAGGATTATTAAAGCTGTAATCTGGTAAGGGTTGAGATCAAGTAGACATGTAGATGAGTTGGCTTTAGCTAGAAAGGTGGTCTCTTTGTTAGAAACTGGAGGAAAGGAGTAGAGAGTGGAAGATTATGTCAAGGATTTTTGAGAGGAAGAGAATGGGAGAAGAGGGCGTTCATGTGACATGGCTTCAACTTTATGAAGTAAGAGTCAAGGTGCTCAGGTGAGAGAGGGGTGAAGGAGAGATGTGGGAGACTTTAGGAGGAAAGAAAAGGCTTGGAATAGCATCTTTGAAGAGTGAGATAGTGAACCAGGAAGGAATAAAAGAAAGGAGGAAGGAAGGAAGGAAGGAAGCATTTGTTAAATGTCCACTACGTACCACGCATTGTACTAAGTGCTTTTACAAATATTATCTCATTTGATCCCCTTGACAACCTTTACAGATAAGTGCCTTGCCCAGGATCACTAGGAAGTAACTGAGACTTGATTTGATTTCTCATCACCTAAATATAAAAAGGCTGCCTTATTATAGTGAGGGTCCCATTCCAGTTGATAATACAAATTTATAATGCATCCAATCAGTACAGTTGTGAAACTTCTTCTGGCCCTAGTCAGCAGCTATTGAGAAGGGTGGGAGTAATCCCGAGCTGAAGTGAGCATTGATAGGACAAGGGAGCAAAGAGATTCCAGAACAGAGGAGAGTGTAGAGTTGAAATGGCTAACTATATAGTTGAGTTTGGAAGGGGAGGAAAGTTAAGTCAGAGCAATGGTCTGGGAAAAATAGTACTCAAGGTGGAGGTATCTGAGGCCCTATTGAGAGTGAAGAATAGAAGGGGTGAGGAACAAGGTAAAGTGGAATGATGGGAAGTTATGGTCAAATGGAAGAGTCACTAATTTTGTAATTAAGGAAGAGGAATAATAATTGCAAAACATTTCCTCCAGTCCCCAACCTGGGGCACACTCTCCTACAGATTCACATAGCATCAGTGGGGACAGCAGATGCACCTATATATAACCTGGTAAAACCATCTTGGCAGATGGGCTAAACCAGATTGAGGGTAATGGGCAAGTTGGGTGAGTTAGGGAGATGCTTATCCCAACATGTGAAGACTTCCCCCAGCAGAATAGGTGGATGACAACAATTTGTTTCAATGGCCATGAAGGCAGATGAAGCAGGCGCTGTGGAGTGCTTAGAGACTGGTCAGACATTGAAGATGCCAAGGTCATGTGCTGCATCCTTGGCTGTCTCCTGGCATCTTGACTTTTGTCTTACCTTCAGTGACTCTGGAAGAGAGAATGAGGCTGATGACTTTGCACAGCTCTGTCTCACTTAAATCTAGTTCACATGCAAGTTAAGAGATCACCCTTGTGATGTCATTGGTCCTCTTCAAGAGGAAGGATGAACAATATACATTAGTATAGAGGTACACACCTTTAGGGAGCACAGGTGGCTCAGACACTCACACCTTTTAGTACTTCAGAGATGAATTTCTCTTCTCATGGTGTTGTCATGCTGCTCCTCCTGGGCTCATAGTTCTCCAATGGCTGGAACTATCCCTCATGTCATTAATTTCTGGTCTTATGCCTTGACTGACCAGGATTGTTCTCTGCCAGGTGTAATGTCTTCTTCAAGGTGAACAGCTCTACAAGAGAAATTCCTCCCTCCTCCCTTCCCTTACCTCCATGCCCCCTCCCTTCAGATGTCTTCTGGAACATGTCCAAGAGAAAAGACAAAAATCATTCCCTCTCAAGAGCTTGTTTGTTGTTGTTCAGTCATGTCTGACTCTTCGTGACCCTCTTTGGGGTTTTCTTGGCAAAGATACTGGAGTGGTTTGCCATTTCCCACTCCAGCTCATTTTACAGATGAGGAAATTGAGGCAAACAGGATTAGGTGATTTGCCCAGGTTCACATAGCTATCTGAGTATCTGAGGCTGGGTTTGAATTCAGATCTTCCTGTCTCTAGGCCTGGTGCTCTATCCATTGTACCACGTAGCCTGTCCGTTCAAAAGATGGGTTCTTTTTCTATTTCTTACTCTCTTCTCTGCTGTCAAAGGGCACACTCCTCAGAGCTGTCTCCTGTCTCAGTGCTAGAGAGTAAGTCTTGCCTTTTAAAGGATCACCAGGGACTTGACCAGTCAATGGCTGGCTGCTCTCTAAATCAAGTTTGACTGAAGAACATCTCACACCTATTAAAGGGGTAAGGTAGTACAGATCTTTTAGTTTTATTTAAAACCTTGACACCTATATGAGTCACTCTCCCCTTACATTCCTTGATTTCATTTACCAGGCTGGGAGAAAATTGATTGATCAATTTCCTCCCACCTAACCCATATATGTGGTAAATTCTTTTAGCATCTTTTTAAATAATCACAAAATAATTAAGCAAAATATTTTTCTTCTATAAGACTGAGGGGTTTTTTTTTTAGAGTAAGAGGATTTAAGTAGCTCCTTCCTTAATCTTTCCAGTTATTACTTCTCTCCCCCCTGGAATCACTTTGTATTTACCTCTCTCTGTATACAGTTTGTATATACCCTCTTCCTTGAGGGCAGAAATTGTTTTGATTTTTATCTTTGTTACCACCTGTACTAAGCACTTAGTAGGCACTTAAATTTTGGTGAATTAAATTAAAATATTCATCATTTCACTTTTATATGGCATTAATTTTGCTGTTTCTCCTCTTTTTTTCACAGTATAGTGCCGTAGATACAAATCCTTTATCAGTGTATGTTATGCAGCACCTCTGGAACAGAATAGTTAAGGTAAGCATGATAGCACGTTTTAAGTTTTATTTTCTTAGTTGTTTTGATATGTTGATGAAACCAAAGAAAGAGGTATCAATTTGGAAACAAATAACTAGTAGAACAAACCTAGTTCTTCTTCCCCCTCAAAACAGAAAAAAAATACTTTTGAGGTTTAATTGATTGTAATTACAAGTATCAGTAGACATAGGACAGCTAGTCCCTTTGAAGCATATTTTATTACCATTGCTCTTCTTTCCCTCTAGTTCCTCAACTTATTGGCCTCTGTAAGACTCAGTTCTTGTACTGAGGAGACACTAAGAGTTGTATTTACTAATTGTTCTCTGTATATCTATATATCCCTTTATCCTTTTCATTCTTTCATAAACATTAGAGGAATTTTTTTTTATTTTGCAGGGGAAAATGGCAACTTTCTTTGTTTTATGAAAGATATGGAGGGAGGACATCATTTCCTACATTGTGGTTCTTTTTAAAAAAGTTATTAATAATCAGAACTGCTTCTAAAGTTTGTTTCTGAGGTGGTCATTCATTCATTCGTCATATATTTATTGGGTACTTACTATGTGTATCATAAACTGTACTATGTACTAGGCGGATAATGGGAATCAGAAAAAGGGAGTTAGAGACATATGAGATCAAATTCCTGTACTCAGTAAGATTATAATCTCATTGAGAATATTTGTATGTGATCACTAATATGAAAATATGTTTAATAGGAATGTAAATGTATAGCCTACATCAGATTGCATGTCATCTTGGGGAGATAGGTGGGGAGGGAGGGGAAAAAATTTAAAACTCAAAAGCTTATGGAAGTGATTATTGATAAATCAAAATAAATTAATTTAAAAATATATTTATATATAAGATATTATAAAGGGGGACTCAGTAAGGAAGGTGACTTTTCATTTTTTCATAAATATTATTTACCTGGAATTAATCAATGCAATCATTACTACATAGCTTCATTACTGTGGCTGAATATAAATTGGCAACATTTTTATTTGTGTTCCTAAAATACAATATATTGGAAGTGACTTTAGTTAAAGTCACCTTAAACTTAAGACTTAAACTAGATGATGTACTACAGTAATTAGTGTCGTAACAGTACAATTACTGTTACTCAGAGGAAGATGAGGGATTATTGTGGGCTTGGAAATCACTGTTCTAGGAAGGCTTCATGCTATAACTACTGTCCCCCAGTTCACACAGCTATTAACTAAACCCAAAGTGTCCAGAAGGTTGATTGTGGGGCCCAATGCAGTTTATTGTGGGTGGATAGCTGTCATCCTATTCTCATGTGGTTCCCTTGTGTCATCCTTGGAAAGTGACTTACCAGCTTCCTGTGACCTATCATTTTAAATTGCAGCTAGACTTGGGGAAATCCCCAGGTTGACTCCTCATGTTTCTGCCTGGCACACAGTAGGCACTTAATAAATGCTTGTTGAATTGATGCTTTCAGTTCTTTTGAGAGACTGGGGAGAGTAGCTTGCCACTTCTTGCATTTTCCTTTTTAAAAATCAGTACCTCTCATGCTTTATCAGCTACCTCCTTGCACAGATAAAGTAGCTGCTTACCCAACAAAATAATCATTCTGATCATCCAGTGAAGTTTAACCACAATACAAGCTTGCAAGCAATGGGGCGCTGGAGCCAGGTTGCCTTGGTTCTAATTGTTAAATTTTCAGAGTGAAAATTTTCACTTCAAAAATCAACAAAGTTATAGCCTGATTTATTGGTTTATTGATTGTCTAGACTTAAGAAAGTGATGGAAAAAATGTTTAAAATGCAGTAGAATGTGTCCTGTGTACTCCTCTCCCCCACCGAGAGAGCTGGTTATTTTTTTTTAAAATTTTATTAATTTATTTTGATTTATCAACAATCACTTCCATATGCTTTTGAGTTGGAAATTTTTCTCCCCCTTCCTCCCCCCCACCCTCCCCAAGATGGCAAACAATTTGGTATAGGCTTTACGTTTACATACCCATTAAACATATTTTCACATTAGTGAAGTTGTAAGTAAAAATTAAAACCAATAGGAGGAACCATCAGAAAGATGAAACAAAACTCAACAGAAGGTAAAAATAAGTGATAGCGATTCAACTTCCATAGTTCTTTCTTTGGATGTGTACAGCATTTTCCATCCCGAGGCCTCTGGAGATGTCTTAGATCCTCGTAATGCTGAGAAGGGTTCAGTTTAACAATCTTAGTCATTGCATAATGTGGCTGTTATTGTGTACAAAGTCCTCTTGGTTCTGCTCACTTCACTCAGCATCAGATCATATAAATCTTTCCAGGTGAGAGCTGGTTGTTAAACATTTACTAGAATACTCCTTCTTTTAGCATTATAAATTTAGAGCTAAAAGGAACTTTAGATAATATCTAGTCCAATCCCCTCATTTTACAAATTGTTTTATGAATAAGAAACATGGAAGTTAGAAGAAAACACATTTTCATATTTTAGAAAGCAGTGGAACTTGAGTCCTGAAATGTATTCACACAGTTTCATTATGATGGTGTTATTTTTTTCCCTTCAGAAAGTTTATGGTAGCCAGTATATTTTAAATTTGTCTTAAAATTCAAATTCTGTGTAGTGAGCAGAAGGAACTGTTTAAGTTATTTTGTTTTAGAATTTTGCTGCATTAAACATAATGTGCCAGTAGGTGAGGCTTGGGAATTTTTGGTAAAAAAAAATCTTTTTTTGGTAATTGAATTTGCTTCAGTAAGCTAATTTTATTGAATATTGATTATAATTCTGTTTGACAACGTCTAATGATTAATTCATTGGTATAACTAAATCTTTACCATTTTATGCAACATTATAATTGCATAATGTGTCCAGGTAACGTTTACCTCACTTTATTCCTTTTTGGTGGGTGGTATCTAAATTACTAATTTAACATCTAACTCACCATTACTTTTCATTCTTATAAATTTTAAATGTGATTTTTCTGTCCTTTTTGTATTTTTCAGATAGTGCCACTGTGGATTGCACCTAATTTGCTTACCTTTTCTGGATTTTTATTGCTTTTAATCAATTATTTTGTATTATGTTTTTATGACTGGGATTATACTGCCTCAGGTAATAATATGCATATTAATTAGACAATAATCCAATTTTAATCCTTTTTAATATTCAAAGCTATATTTAAAAACCCTTCAGTCATTTGTACTCCTTACATGAATTTTTTATTTTGAGATTTAAATTCAAACTGACCTGTTGTCTTGTCTGAACGTATTGTGAAATTTACTCACTAATAATAATAATAATAATAGCATTTATATATGATTCTAAGGTTTGCAAAGTGCTTTAAAAATATTGCATTTAATCCTCACAGCAACCCTGGGAGATTGGAGCTATTATTATCTGCATTTTACCAATATGGAAATTGAGGCAGACATGTTAGGTGACGTTATTCAGGGTCACACAGCTAGGAAGAGTTTGAGCTCTTCCTAGCTGTGTGACCCTGAAAAAAGTCGCCTAACTGGTTTTGAGTTTAGATCTTCCTAACTCCAAGTCCAGCACTCTATCCAGTGTAACACCAGCTGCCATAATAAGCTAGCATTTATGTACCAGCTTAAGATTTCTCAAGCCCTTTTCATGCCATTTTCCTTAATCTTCACAACAACCCCATGAAGTAGGTGCTATTATCACCCCCATTTTACAAATGAGGAAACTAAGCCTGAGGCAGGTTAAGTGACTTGCCTAGGGCCACACAGCTAGTAAGAATCTGAGATAGAATTTGACCTCAGGTCTTCCTTCCTCCCTGGCCATCACTCTATCTAATCTATTCTATCTACTGTATCCATCTGGCCACTCCCTACAAATAAGGATGTAGGGAGATTTTAACCAAGCCCCAGGACTTTAATATTGCACTGTTTCCAGATCCCCCACAAAATTCTAGGTGCCAAATACCAAACATTTTTGTGTTCTCATGACAGCAGGTCTCAGAAGGTCCTATATGAGGCAACAAGGTTTTTTTGCTGTTGTTGTTTTGTTTATTTTTGGTGAGGCAATTGAGGTTAAGTGACTTTCCCAGAGTCACACAGCTAGCGAGTGTTATGTGTCTGAGGCCGGATTTGAACTCAGGTCCTCCTGACTCCAGGGCTGGTGTTCTATCCACTGAGCCACCTAGCTGCCCTGAGCAACAAGTTTTACTTTAGATCAGGTGTTCCTGCTTGTACTTGTAAGCAACAAAATTGCATTCCTGTTAAAATATTTTCTAATTTTGACTTTTAACTAATTCTGATTAACCTTCTACATGTGTGACCCTGGAAGTCCCCGGCTAAAAATTCTCACCAGCCCCAGAGTCTCTCACTTCCTGCTCCTGAATGAGAGAGTTGGATGGGAATCCAGAAGCCACTAGCCCCACTGGTATGTGAAAAGAAACCCTCTCTGCAGCATCTCTGACAATCCAGCTGTCTCCTAAAGACCTCCAGTGGGCTGGAACCCGCCACCTCCCATTCTACTTTTGTGCATCGATAGTTGTTAGGAGGTTTATTGTTATGGTCTTGGCAGTTTCCAACCATTGCTCCTCATTCTGGCCTCTGTAGAGTAGTACAAACAAGTCCAAGTTCTCCTCCTGGTGATGATGATAACAACTCAGATTTCTACAAAGATTTATGGTAAGGGCCTTCCGCACAACAACTCCATGGACTGTCGTCATTTCTTCCTCCTAAGTTCTTTTTTTTCTTCAAGTCAAATATCTCTGATGCCTTCAGGGGATTGGCTCTACATTAAGGTCTCCATTAATCTCACCAACCTTCTTCCTACTACTACCCAATAATAGCTGCTGAAGAGATTCAGAAATGCCTTCTCACACCTAAATACATGAAACGCTTTAGCCCCCCCAAAATTCCTTAAATATTGGTGGCTAAAAAAACAAAAAACAAGAACAATAACAACAAAAATTGGTGGCTAGTTAGCATAGGGGACAGAATACTAGACTTAGAATCAGGAAGACCTGAGTTTGAATCCTGTCTCAGATACTAGCTGTATGACCCTGGACAAGTCATTTAAGTCATTTAAGAAGAGTTGGCCACAACTGAAACAACTAGACAACAACACAAGGTCCCTTTCAGCTCTAAATCTATGATCCTATGAATGAGAAACTAATAGAAAGAGGATTTTCGTGAAGGTTAAGGAACACCTAGAACACCTAGAAGGTTAAGAACACCTAGTCCAAATCCCCTAATTTTATTTTATTTATTTATTTTTTAGGCAATTGGGGTTAAGTGAATTGCCCAGGGTCACACAGCTAGTGTCAAGTGTTTGGTCTGAGGCCAGATTTGAACTCAGGTCCTCCTGACTTCAAGCCAGTGCTCTATCCACTGTACCACCTAACTGCCCCAGATCCCCTAATTTTATACACAAGGAAGTAGGGACCTTGGTTACAAAGAGAACATGAAGCAGCATTCAAACCTAGGTGTTTTAACTTTAACTCCAGTATTTTTCCTGCTACATTACAGTTTTATTATAGAGGGAAGAAAAGAGAAAGGAGATTGGAGGGCTAATAACCTAACTGAGAACTATAGGAAGAGAAATCAAAAAAGAGAGAAGGGAGAGGCTAAAATAGGGCAAAGAGAAAGCTGGCGGATATTTTGGGTGAGATAAAGGCAGAAATAGGACTTGTTAAAACATTTTTAAGCACATCTCTGGTTTCTTGGGCCGATGCTTTTTCTGGGCAGGAAGTCACCTGATTAAAAAAAAAAAGATTCTAGTTGACTAAGCAGAAAATTATTCATGTATATATTTGTGTGCTTTTTTATATATTGTTGAGTAGTGCCTATTTTACTCCTAACATGAAAATATTTTCAGTTATGTGCTATTAGGTGGTTTAAGAATCTAGTAATCTACATTAGGTTTTTAGAAATTATTACTCAGTAATTTGCCATCCCCTTCAGCAAGCTGGTACAATAGATAGAGTGTACTGCCTGGGGTCATGAAGTCATCTTTGTGACTTCAAATCCTGCCTCAGACACCTACTAGCTCTATAACCTTGGGCAGATCACTTAACCCTGTTTACCTCAGTTTCCTCATCTGTCAAATGAGTGGAGAAAGAAATGGGAAACTATTTCAGTATCTTTGCCAAGAAAACTCCAAAAGTGGTCATAAAGAGTAGGATGTGACCAAAAAGACTGAATGACAATAGCAAATTTAAAATCCCTCTTCTTTTACCCAATTCTAATTTTTAAGGAATTATTTTCTTCAGTGAGTTTTTTTCCCCACCCCCTTTTTCATGTGGTCAATTGTACTTTTAAAGGAGTTCTTTTCTTCAGTGAATTTTTATACATTTTTCCCCATTTTTTTTGTGCTTCCCTTAATGAAATGTTGACTCCTTAACACATCACAAAACTGGTCAGAGGCAACAAAGAGAAGAGAAAGGAAAGGAAAAACACCTTCTCTTATTACAATAAGACCCCATCATCATTGCTCTTACCTCTTATTCTCTTGTGGTTCCTTGACCGAGAAGGAAAGGGAAAACTCCAATGGTCATCACTGAGGCAGCCCTGAGGCTGAAGCTTTTCTCTTGATCTCTAGCAACCATTTGTTTTTTCTCCCTTGAGTATGAAGGGAGAAAAGGAAAAGAAATGGGGAAGAAGAGGAAAAAAAGGAGAGTAAATCTCACCCTGCTTGGTTACAGAACCCCTATTACTGCTAACATCCCTACCCCATCCCCTTGCCAATTCTAACTGCTACTGCTTCCTCTGCTCTGACTCAACCTTGTCATCCACAGGAGTGATGAGGGAGGAGAAAGAGGAAGCTAAACGGTATACTAACTGCTCTCCCCCTGCCATCCCTGCCAAAAACTCCAACCCTTTTCTCATCACCCTAAGCCCTCACTCTCTCTTTTCATGGGGCAGCTAGATGGTATAGTAGATGGAGTGCTGGACTTAGAATAAAAAAGACCTGAGTTCAAATCTTCCCTCAGATACTAGTTATGGGATGCTGGGTAAGTCACCTTGACTTCTTTTTGCCTAAATTTCCTCATCTGTGAAAAAAAAGGAATGATAATAATATCACTTACCCCACAAGGTTGTTTTAAGAGTCAAATGAGGTAATATATGTAAAGTGCTTTGTAAACCTTAAGATGCTATATAATTGCTATTCGTTACTACCATTATCATTATTATTATCCTCAGTCTCCAGTGGCATTTTTTTCAACTCCACCATCTATTCCAACACACCTAGTTGCTGCCCCAAAGCCTCACTCCCACTTCTCAACCTCCTGTCCCAGAACATAGGAGCATCAGGGTCACAATGGCTATTCTTCTGTTTCTTTTTGCCTCAGCCATGAGCTATGCTGGACACCTGGGGCAGAGGAGGGGCAGAAATGAGTGTCCTGTCTTCTGACTTCTCATTTCTCATAGCGAGCCTTCAGTAGCACTCTCAAAATCGCATAGTTTGCTGTCCTGTAGAGATAGGACAGGAAAAGGTCAGTGATAAGATCATCTGAGTTCATGTAGGGGCAAAAGATACGGAGCAAGGCAGTCAAATACACTTTGTGATTGAAATAAAACATCAGGTGGTCGGAGTCTGGGAAGAACCAGAGGCAAAAAGGTAATCATAATAGATATTATTGTTTAAAACAAACAAACAAAAAATCAGCAACAGTGAATCATTGGGATGCAAGGGAACTGGCAGAACTGATGGGGAAGGTAGCTAAGGTCAGCAGCAGGTAGGTCAAAGAAGGGGTATAAACTCAAATAAAGAGTGTTCAAAATCAGTCATGCCTTGCCATCTGAATACCTGTGACTTTGTAAACTGAGGTAGGTAGAAGCTAGCCCTGCCCTCCTGATCATTCCTCTACTTACCTTTGTTGTCTGTAACAGGTCAGGAATATGTGGTTGAGAGAGATGTATTCCTAAGTCCCAAACTAGAAAACCTAATAAGTTTTCCATAGAAATACTGTTAAAAGTTACAGTATTATTAACATTCTACTTTATTATAACAATAATAGTTAGCATTATGTAGTGCTTTAAGATTTATAAAACATATCACATTTTATTGTCACAATAGCTCTGTGAGCTAGGTGCTATTATTATCCCCATTGTAGAGATGAGAAATCTGAATTTGACAGA